GGAGCGGGGCGCGGCGCTGCGCGGGACTGCGGAGCCGGACGCACGCCCGCTCCCGCTCTTCGCGCCGCCGGGGCTGCCGCGGGCCATGGGTCCTCCCTCCAGCACTCTGAGCTTTGGCTCTTAGCCTGTGCTAGCCTCTGAATATGAAAGAGAATGTGGCCCTCTCATCACTCGGCCCCGAAGCCCGGAGCTTTTGTTTGGGAAGGAATGCAAAAGGCCTACCCACTCCCCAACCTCCCTGGCCCAAAAGAATGGTAGCGGAGGCTCCTCGTGTCTTGTACGGGGCCCCTGCGTCCTCCCATTCTGAAGTTGTGAGCTTGCAATGGGGAAGTCTTGCGGCCGCCATTGTCGCGGCTGCTCGGGGGAGGAGAGGTGGCTGCAACTGCTTATGTAAGTTCGGCTTTGCAGGAAACCCCGCGCCTTGCGCTGTAACGGTGGCTCAGTGCACAGCGGTTTGGAGAGAACTAAAGAGGAGGCAGCTTATGGAGGTGTAGCTGGGGCTACGTCCCTATACCTTGCTACAGAAGTACTGGCACCCGCTAGTCTTCCAGTTGGACTCACCTGAACTTAACAATTGGTACAGCTCATTAGGAAAAAGAGGGTAGGGGGGCATTGGACATATGGTCTCTGCTTTCTGGTCCTCAGAAATCTAGAAAGAGGAGTGGCCTCATACTGTCAAAAAAGGAAAAAAATAAATAAGCACGCGATTATGTTGCCATGGCTACTGTGTAGTCACCCCTCTCCTGGTTCCCGTACACTGTTAGCCCACAAGCCCCAGAGTTCCTGATGGCCTTAGGGAGTATTGTAGGAAGGTTTGCCTGTGTCCAGTGTCGTGGTAGGAAGGTTTGCCAGGGCTGCCTTCCCTCCGAGAGTAACAATGGCCAGGGAACGTGCATCTAGTAAACGGGACAGAGTCGCAGAACATGGTCAGGCCAAATTGTCTTTAGAAATTATTCTGCCATCCCTCACACTATGCATATGGGAAACCTGTTATTGCTCTAGGCAGCTCGTTTTGTATACTTTTCTGTAGAGGCAACTATTTATGGTTCTAGATTGGAGTCTCATACCACAGGTTTTGTGTAAGACTGTCCTATCCCAGCCCATTACTTCTACCATAGCAAATGATCTGTGTGGCTGCTTTTCAGTAGAGGAAACTTTTTATATTTTTCAGGATATTGGCTTGCAGGATGGAGTTCCTTGGATAAGAGTTAAAACTCACAAAAAGCTTAAATTCTTTGAGCCTCCCTGTAGGCATAGAGGTTTAAAAACAAACAAAACACCTGAATTTCACAAATGCAGTCCTAAAGACAAGTATGTACTGCACTGTACAAGTACAGAAAGAAAAACAATTGCTATTCCTTCTCCCATGTTGGGTATGTGTAATTCTATAGCTTTTTCTGTGTTTGTAAAGCTACACAGTTGTGCATGTTTGTATGATCCGAAAGAGCAGGGTAGAGAGCTGTATGTCCAGCAGGATGTGGTGAGGGTAGGGGACCTTTATTGGCTTTTTCTGTTACTGTGTGTACAGATGTTGGTAGCATCTGTATTAGTACAGACATGGCTTTGTTTATGAGGCAAAATCCTTTAATAGGTCTCTAACCTATCCTCTCAAATCCAGCATACAGCCCCTCCCAAATGCCATAGCATATTACCTTTCTGGTCCATATCTGTTCAAAACTGAACCAGACGCTGCCAGCTGTCCACCTCTCTGCTCCTAACCTAAAATGAGTACATGATTTTTTTTTAGTTTGCTTATTTATTGTCTTCATGACACACAGAGAGAGAGAGAGACAAACCCCCTCAATAATGTCTTTATGCCGTGAACCTTTCCCCAATCCCTCAGCCATCTAGGATCTGGGGCAAACCTGGCATGTTCAGGTCAACCCTGGATCCAAAAGCAAGGCCTCCCACATGACTCTGGCATTGCCCAATGGCGCCCTACTAGGCACCACAAGCTAGGCCAAAAGCTTACTTTTTAAAATTAATTCTTGAAAATATTCTTGGTTTAAAATTTGAGGTTGAAGAAAATCCTACCTCATTCTTATTTGTCCTTTTCTCTTTAGGTCTGGCGTGTCCCTGATCAGAGTTACTCTGATCTGAAGATTTTGGTGTTTAAGGCATTAAGATAATAGCCTGAGTTGTTCATGGTAACTATAATTTTGGATATTACATCTTGAAAAAAAGATTTGGTGTTTGCTTTAAAAATACGTATTTCAATTCTGATGAGGCATTAACAGTTTTGTGTCTCTTGGGAAGATGTGTATTTTTTTCAGACTGATACTGTGTTGAGTAAAAATAAAACAGTTTTTTGAAAAGAGAATGTATAGAACACATTAGTTTTTTGTTTTGTTTTGTTTTAGAATTATTTTATTTTATTTATTCACTCATTTATTTTTTAATTTGACCAGCGGGAGACAGAGAGAGAAAGAGAAAGTGAGAAAGCAAGCCACCAGGTCCAGGACTTGAACTGTGGTCAGCCATGTGGGAGTGTCCAGCACCTTAACCACCACGCCACCTGCTGGTCCCCTAGAACACATTAGTTTTAAAAGATCAGCTCATTAACTTGGTGACAGGTCTAGAGTGCCAATTCTAAATTACTTTTGCTCATAAAATGTTTGTAGTACTTCTTAAGTACATCCAGTGTTGATGGCACTTTTATCTGGATGATGGGTACATCGGTATCCAGGAGGACAAAGCCACATATTGCTGTCTTCCCAAATGTCACCTGATTTTCTTAAGAGCGTATTAAATCTTGAATCTCAATCAAAAATAGCATAGAAAATGCTGTGGATAAACTGGTTGGAATATTTTGGCAAGGATGTCCCTTTCTAGTTCTGCAACAGTGGCTTGTCTTTTCTGTGAAGGAAAAATGACACTGAGCACGACAAATTATGTTATTCAATTCTTCTTCATATGTGAAATTCGACTAGATGCTAGAGATAGGACTAAAGGATCCTAACCTCAAACCTGTTTCCTAAACCTTGCAGTTATTTGTCATGACTACCTCTAGTTGTCAGGAAACATGAGTTTTGGAACTAGATTGCCTGAATTCAAGTCCCTGTTCTCCACTAAATCGCTATAAAAAGTTGGATAGGTTTCTAGCTTCACCTATGAAATGGGTTGTAATACCTACCTTGTAAGATTATTTGAACATTAACTTCATTGATGCATGCAAAGCATACAGAATAATGCCTGGCATATATTATGTGCTCAGTGGAAGTTGCTGTTGTAACTAGGTAAATACTTAATATTTTAAGATAAATAAAAGTAACAAGATGGGAATCCCAAGTTGAGATCAGATGTTTCTACTTATAGTCTTAGACCACTCTTACCATTGACTTTCTGAAATCTTTACGTTCCAAAAATATTATCAGAAAATGAAAACCTGGCTATGTTTTCTGTATGGGATAGTATTATTCACTATTGCCAAACTCTTTTTTTTGTAGGAGTTTTTCATCAGTATGTCTGAAACCATTAAATATAATGACGATGATCATAAAACTCTGTTTCTGAAAACACTAAATGAACAACGCCTAGAAGGAGAATTTTGTGATATTGCTATTGTAGTTGAAGATGTGAAATTCAGAGCACACAGATGTGTTCTCGCCGCCTGCAGCACCTACTTTAAAAAGCTTTTCAAGAAGCTTGAGGTTGATAGTTCTTCAGTAATAGAAATAGATTTTCTTCGTTCTGACATATTCGAAGAGGTCCTGAACTACATGTATACAGCAAAGATTTCGGTGAAAAAAGAAGACGTTAACTTAATGATGTCATCGGGTCAGATTCTTGGTATCCGATTTTTGGATAAACTCTGTTCTCAGAAGCGTGATGTATCTAGTCCCGATGAAAATAACGGCCAATCAAAAAATAAGTATTGCCTCAAAATAAATCGTCCCATTGGAGATGCTGCCGACACTCAGGATGATGACGTGGAAGAAATTGGGGATCAGGATGACAGTCCTTCTGATGACACAGTAGAAGGCACTCCCCCAAGTCAGGAGGACGGCAAGTCGCCCACAACCACGCTCAGGGTACAGGAAGCAATTTTGAAAGAGTTGGGGAGTGAGGAAGTTCGGAAAGTAAATTGCTATGGCCAGGAAGTAGAATCCATGGAGACCCCAGAATCAAAAGATTTGGGGTCCCAGACCCCTCAAGCCTTAACATTTAATGATGGAATGAGCGAAGTGAAAGATGAACAGACTCCAGGCTGGACAACAGCCACTAGTGACATGAAGTTTGAGTATTTGCTTTACGGTCACCATCGGGAGCAGATTGCCTGTCAGGCTTGTGGCAAGACATTTTCTGACGAAGGCAGATTGAGGAAGCATGAAAAGCTCCATACTGCAGACAGGCCATTTGTTTGTGAAATGTGTACAAAAGGTTTCACCACACAGGCCCACCTGAAGGAACACCTAAAAATCCACACAGGATATAAGCCCTACAGTTGTGAAGTATGTGGAAAATCATTTATTCGTGCCCCGGACTTAAAGAAGCATGAGCGAGTTCACAGTAATGAAAGACCATTTGCATGTCATATGTGTGACAAAGCCTTCAAACACAAGTCCCACCTCAAGGATCACGAAAGAAGACACAGAGGGGAAAAACCCTTTGTGTGTGGTTCCTGCACCAAGGCATTTGCCAAGGCATCTGATCTGAAAAGGCACGAGAACAATATGCACAGTGAAAGGAAGCAAGTCACCCCCAGTGCCATCCAGAGCGAGACAGAACAGTTGCAGGCAGCAGCAATGGCCGCCGAAGCGGAGCAGCAGTTGGAGACAATAGCCTGTAGCTAGAGGTGGTGGGACGGGAACTCTTTGCCTGGGAAGCAGAGACTGAGATAACATCAATCATAGTACATGAATGCCGGTTGCTATATTTTTGTGGAAGTGGATGGAGCATTGTACTCACTGCTAAAGACTGTCAGTCCTTGGTTAGGTATTTCTAAAACTTTTCAAGGAAATAATGTTCCTAAGTTCTGACCAAACAATTTCACTGTCCTGTCTGGTGTCTAGTGGTAATGTTGCCAGTAACTTCCCTTTACCCTCTTTTTTATGATTTTAATTTGAGAACTCTTGTGTCCAGTTTAGAAGTGAGAGACTTCTATCCTATTTTTAATTCTTCTACACTTGCTGCGTTGATGAGTGTACTGCACAGAGTAATAATTGAGTACACTGATTTCCTGATCATCATAATTACATATGACTTACGGTCAAAAGAGCAGTTCTAATAACTTAACTAAAAGTCCTTCATATAGATGCAGAAAATACTGGTAGGTGGTTGACCAAGAACACTGCGCAAATATGAAAACAAATTCTGGAAATGCAGAATGGTATTAGGTTTATATTTGCTTTGTTAATTTTATATCACTTTTTCACTGTTTTTGTGGACAAATAATGGTTGCTTTGCCGAAGTGGTTCCTCATTTGTTTCGATCGCCTTGTACCTACCCCAAAAGATGTAGTCACGTACCGAAGGCTGAGCATATCCACCAGGATGTTGGTGGTGATGGGGCTGAGATTTTAAGTTCCTCTTATTTGGGGCCTTGCCACTCTACACCTGCTGGGATTTATAGAGGGGATCACTGGAGGGGAGTAGAAAAGGCTCTCAGAGACAAGGTTTCACAGGTGCAACAATTCCAAGATTCTGTAGATCAAATTGATTCTGAAATTGGATTTTTATTTAAGGTCAAAATTAGGACAAGAACAGATATGTTCCTTCAGATGCATTTGTGCAACTTTATAGAATGTCATCAAGCTTTTGGGCTCTCTGCAGCACATGATTTATCCATAAAGGAGATGCAATATGCTTACTTAATAAATATAAAATCTTTTAAGCGTGTAAATAGGAGTGTTGGTCTTACGTATTTCAAGTACAAGTAGACAGCTGCACTTTTTTTTGCACATGGGATTAAAATAATTTCCATTAACCACAAACATCAGGCTGTTTCTAACCAATATTAAAGGTGGTCAGACCAAATGTCTATGTTTTTGAAATATATTTCATCATTGGTTACAGTTTAAGTAGAAGTTGGTTGCCTTTCATAACCGTAAATCAGAATTATAAACTCTGTTTCAGTTTTGGTGTGTGAAATGTTCATTTAACCATTTCTTTAGGAATATGTTGAAATGCCAACAATAGTTTGAATTATGTTCTGTATGAAAGTATCAGTCAATTATTTTTAGAATATGTAACAATCGTAGAAAATGTCCACTTTAAAATTCATTTTTTGGTTGCTAGGATTATTTTTTAACACATTAAAGTAAGTTCATTTCATAGCTTCTTGCATTAACACCTGTAATTACTATTGTGGGAGAAATTTTATTTTTTAAATTGGTGTATATGTTATGCCCAAGATCGTAGAATGAAGATGCTACCTTTTTAAAAAAATATTTATTGGTAAATATTTAGTTAATTTAATTTCTTTTTTTGAAAGTTGTTTATTCTGTACTAAAAGTAGTCCTGTCACTGTGTTTGTAAGCTATTAGTGTTAGTAGAAAAGGAACTGATTACTGTTCCTAGGCTGTTTTAACCAAAGCAAAGGAAAAGATCATTTAACACCTTGTTGATAGCTCCTTCAATGAGCCTTATTTTGAGCCTTCGCTTCTGTATATAAAAGAAAATATACTTCTATCCTTCCTGTTTTCTTTTTTTTTTCCTCATAGCAACCTTCTGCACAGCCAGGTTTCTACCAAAAATGTATCTTCTAAACTGTCTTCATCATGGTTTTACAGAGTTGTAAGTTAAACAAGTGCTATGAACCCCTGTTGAAACCACATCATCATGGTAGTATCCAAAATGAAAGTTTAATTTTTGGCACTTTATTTGTATTATGTAAATATTTATCATTTGGCCTGTTTTACATGAGAAATATATTTGTGTTATAATTTCTGCCACTGGTCCCAGGGTTGTATGTGTGTCAGAAGGCATGTTTTCTGTTTTTGTTGTTGTTTGTTTTATATTTTGGTGGCAGCCGTCATACTATGGCAGCTCTCTTTTTTTCTCAGTCCTGGTCAGTATAACACTGCCTCTCTCCACACACATAATCTCCAGTCATTTCTAAGAGCTAGTCCCAATTATTAATATTCTTCCAAATCTTCAGCGTAACAGGAGGAGGTGTGGTTTAGTGGAAAGACTTTCTGAGTCAAACTTGGATTGAATCCTGATTCTGTTTTTCAGTTAATGTTTAAACCTAATCCCCTGGATAGTGAAGCCATCATATTAGATTCTTCAAGGGTACTCCAACACCATAGGGAATTAATTCTGGAATGTGCTTACCCAGAGCCCGCAATGTGACATGAAAAGGAATTCTAAATGCCAACACTGCTAGCCCTTTTAGTTACAGATCGCCAGCTTTTTTCTGTTTGTACAAAGAGTATATCTACGAATTTGATGTTAACTTTTATGCTTGGATTACATTGGTCTTGATTGAGGAAGGGAATTTTAGGAAGACTAAATTTAAGATAATTTTCCTTTTTATTAATATATTAATAATTTATTTCCTTTTCTATTAAATAATCACTGATTGAGAATGATTAGAATAGCATGTTGCCATCAAGTGAGCTTGCTAACAGATGTCTCCTGGTTTGTTGAGGGAAAAATTGAGATGAGGAAAAGTGATGCAAATTTAGGTAGTTTCCAAGTATGTTGTGAGTTATGTTGTGTAAGATTATCAGTAACTTGGTCATGTGGAACCTGGAATTCATTTTCCCGTGGCAATGCTGTTAGTGGTAATAAGTTCCCAGAGTCAGTAACTTTAAGCCCATTGCAGAAGTGTAATAGTACTAGTATAATAAGGATTGTGGTATAGGATTCTGAGTCTCAGGAGTCAGGAACTGAGGCTTTCAGGAGAGAGAATGCAGCACCCTCGTTTTCCTTGCTAATGTCTGTTTCTGTTTTTCACATGCCCCTTTGGGCACTTTCTCCTCCTCGAAACCATTCACAGTTTAATCCTGCATCTGTTTGACCATGTTTTAGATGCAAAAGATAGCCTATTGTCTATTCGACATGTATTGAGCATCATGTGCAAAACACTGGGCTGGATGCTGGAGATAGAAAGGCAGACTGAGTGCTCCCCTTCTCAGTTTTGTCTAACACATTATTTTTTTAATTGCCAGAGGGCACACACATTCACCAGCGAGGGAGGGGAAGGAAGGAAGAAAGTACCCCCCAAAATGGCATGGTCACACCACAATCCCTTCTCTATTTCTTTATCCTGTCAGGATTTGAGACACACATACATGCATCCAGCATGCTTTTCGAGCCTCGGGCTGGGATTTAAAGTACAGTCACCCATGTGGGATCCAGCTTCCCTAACCACTAAGCTAGGGGATGGCCATTGCGCATTCTTTTAAAAATGAGAATGGCATCTGCCCAACAACTCTTACTGCTTGACTGACCTCATTTCAAGAGCCCCAGATGTAATTTATCTGGGTTGTGACAGGTTTTGGCAGTTGTTTTCCTAATCTCTTCAAGAGATTATCATCAATATTCATTTAAAATTTTTCAGTATAACAGAAAGAGAGATGGTTTACTGGAAAGACTTTTGTCAAACCTGGATTTGGATCTTGATTCTAGTTATCAGTTAGCATATACATTTAGACAGATGCTCAACTGTCCTGAGCCTTAATCTCCTCATCAGGTAGAGGTAGGGATTTCTGCCTCAGTCTGCTCTGAGGTTTAATTGTGATAACTAACACAAAACATTTAACCCAGCATGCAACACTTTCTAGGTGCACCCTAAGTGTTCCCTCTCTGCTTAGAAAACATTTACAATGGAAAAGATGGAAGCAAACTTGTTCTCTTCTGCCTTTGGCATCTTTCACTCCTGTGAGTACTGTCCCTGAGATGTAGACCTGGACCTCATTTACGAGCTTTCTTATAGCATTTCTGTATGCCTCACCCCATTTGTGGCTTTGTTCTTACAAACTTGGGTACATCTCCCAGCATTTGTACATTTTTAAGTAGTCATTGGCATGTAGTCAAGTGTCAAGATTAGCCTCTGGATCTCTGCTGTGGGGACGACTGTGATGGCAGAGCCAAAATTGCAATGTTAGGAACTGGCTTTTTAGTCTCATATGTGAAAGGATGCATTAATTTTTTTAATATTATGCTTTTTCTAAAGTTGGATATATTTCAGACTATGCCCAACCTTTCCCTTTCTGGATTGTACAAGTTTTTGAGGATGAGCTGTTGCCTTCTCTCCAAAGGGGGTTAGATTACAACCAAGAATTTTAATTTTCTTTGTAGTTCCAGAATAACAGTTTACTGAATTATTCAGCTTTTCTTTGAAGGGTATTTTACTAACCCTACACAAAAGTACTTTCTTTAGAGTAATAGTAAAGTGTGTTAGTTAATAAAAACTTATAAAATGTCTTCTATGTGTGGGGCATTAGACTGGATCCTGGGAACGTAACAATGAACAAGATAAACATTGTTCTTGCCCTCCTGGAACTTATCATCCTGGATGGAATGCTTACCTTTCCAAGTTTTACAAAAGTTTACAAAAAATTGATCACAAATGTGAAAAATGTTTTTTTTTAAATTTTTAATGTGCTGTATTATATAGTTTAATCCAGTTCATGGAACATACTTTAGAAAATAAGCATTTTTAATAAATTGTCATGAGATTTAGTGATACCAAAATAAATGTTCTCTGATGATTTTTGAATGTATACTGAAAAAATATTAAAATATTGCCATTTCTATAGAATGATTCTCATTTTCCCTCACTAACACTGAGTTTTGGGAAGACGAATGTAATATGAGACTTAAGGTATTTTTCTTCAAAATAATGGATCCTGGTATCACAAAGATACTGATGGAAAGGAAATTACAGAAGCAACAAATGATAACCTGGACTTGCAGCAGCTTTTAAAAAGAATGTTAATAACTTACACGATCTTAAGGGAGGAAGCACTTTGAGCAAATAGAATATGCTCACCAGCAACTCAAAAATGCCCAAACTATCAGTAGGTGTCCCCTGAGTGCCACTGACCAGTTAAAGATGATGCATATGGGATAAGACAGCACATAAACCAAGGGAACTCTGAAAAGAAAAGATATTTTCTCTGTTGGTTTTAGATCACCGAAGTCTGGCTGTCATTTTGATGGAGTTCTATGAAAGTACATTTGCTGTTAAACTTACTTGGAATGTAGTAATTTTCTGTTTCCAGTCAGAAGCCACATATGGGTGATTCTTAAAGGTCATTGCTGCCTGTTCGGTTTTTTAAAATTTTTACTCTTGGGAACCAGCAGTTAGCGTAATGGCTATGTCGCTGGATTCCCACATAGTCGACCGCGGTTCGTGTCCCGGACCCGGTGGCTTAAAACTCACGCCGGGCGCATGTGCGTGCGTCCCCAAGATCCCGAGAGGAGAATAGAGGAGAAGGGATTGCGGCGTGACCATCCCCCCTGGGGGGTGATTTCTCGCTTTCTGTCTCTATGTCTCTCTCTGTCTGTCTGGCAAGCGCATGCGCCCTGCAGTGAAAATCTCTCCAAAAAAAAAAAAATTTTACTCTTACCTTGGACCTCAGTCACTGGAGAAAGAATCTAGAGGATCAGGATTTTAATAATGTAACCTAGTACATGTTGACTATTTACCATTTATCAGGAACTATATCTCTTTGTATATCTTATTACAACTCTGAGGTACTCATTCTGATGGAGACACACCAAGATTCAAAGTTAAAAATCCTGATCAGGTCAATAATTTATCAGAACAAAAGAGAACCGGTCCATCTGCCTCCTGAGACTGCCCTTAGTCACTGCTGTTTGGCCCCAAACCGAAAAGGAAGCGATTATGGCCCTGCACACATCCCTGCTGATGGCAATGGAAGAGAGCGGCATTTATGTCCCTAGGTCTCAGTACTAAATTGGGCCCATTATTTAGATTTTTCCAAGATATCTTCCATGCAGGCAGCCAAATACTAAACCTATATTGTTTTCCCTTGCTTCAGGTCTAGAGGCTGCATCCAAATAAAAACCTCAGGTAGAATGGCATGGATGATGGCAATGCAACCCACAGCTAGCCAGCAGTCACTTTCTTCTGTGCTCTATATCCAGTGAGCCAGGGGAACCCCCGAAGACGAAAGGCCAGCTGGTTTGGGGCCAAAAGTAACTACGATTGTGAAAGATGGTCACCTGTTAAGAGCTCTATACACTGTCCCTTCCCCTCCTTTCAGTCTCTGAAAGGTGTTAGGAAACTTGGATTCAGGTTCTGTCTCCAGCTGCTTTCAAGATATATCACCACCTGGGACTGTTTGCATCATTCTTAATTTCTTCTGCAAAAATGCAAATGATTCTCTGCCCAATTTACACCAGTCTTGCTTATTTGAAACTCATTTTTTCTTCTATGAGTAATAAGAAATTAAAATCAGACATAATTGATTTAAAATATTACTGACCGCACACAGTGACAGAGATGGTTAGAACTTTAATATTTGGGGAATGTTATTATGCTTCATTCTTGCTGTTTACAA